GGGCCAGGCTCTCCTTCCCGCCTCCTTGGCGTAGGCCAGGGCCCTTTGCCAAGGTGAGGGGCCTTCCCACACGGGCGGTGAAGGGGGAGGGCAGCGCAGCGAAAAGCTCTCGGGCCTGGTACGCTCAGCTCCTTGCTGTAGGTCAAACTCCAGCCTGTTGCTTGTCCTACGCAAGGCCGGGTTTTTTTGCCCTTGCAGAGACAAGGGACTATACTGCTTCAAAATGTCCCCTCCAGCCTGCAGAACGTCTTCGTTTTGCATGGTGCGGCCACAGATTTCCCCTGCAGGACGAGCTTTGTGCAAGAGCCGATATGACCTTAGGCTGCTGGAAGCCCAAGGACACATGCAGGCCGCTTGTGAAAGAGGATTCATTCATTTGCGCCTCGCTAGATTTAGAAGTCTAGGTTATGTCTGTGCAATTAACAACTTTGGAATTCATTTTGATGGGTTTTATTTTTTCATTTCAAGATGTGTATCCTGCCTGCTGGTCTGTCTGGCTTTTTTGTTGCCATTTTGCTACACTTTCTGTCAGTATAATGCATGTACAGGTTCATTGAATGATGTAGCTATTCGTAATGTCTCCTGGAAACAGTGCTATCAAATTGCATGGCAGTGTTTGCTTCTGTATTGTTTGTTGTATATCCATCTATGCAAAGATTGCTGTCTTTCAAGTAAGACAAATGGCTTAGTAGATAATAGCGTTATATTCTTACAGACTATTGTATAGGAACAGCTGTGATCAAACATTTTTTTATAGCCTTTTTCTTCCTCTTTCAGATCCGTGCTGGATCAAGACTCTTGTACAGACCAATTTCAGCATCTGTGTTGTCTAGGCCAGAGGTCAAGACTGGAGAGGTACCTTATAAACAAAATTCTGTATCTTCCTAAATCACCTGGTGAGCCTAAATGTCCTCAACCTAGAGTTCATTTGTACTAACTCAAACATCTATAGTGTGAAACTTGCTTTAAGTCAAACACCTAATAATACTTGTTACTGTCTTGCTGTTTCCCCTGAGAAGTCTTTTACTTGTAGAGGTGATTGCTTTCATGTGGAACAGGTAACATTCTAAAGTTTCTAATTCTTAGTTATGGTCTCATCACTTGGAAGAGGAACTAGACATTGGATCTAACACAGCTTTGAAAGCTGCAGAATAACACTATCATAGTGGTTGTAGAAAATGGTCTGTGCCTGAATATAATGCTTTTTCATGTTTTGTTTTCTTAGGGCAACTCAACACTTAATGGGGCCCAAAATACTGTCTCCCGGCTAGCACTTAGAGAATTCCAGACTAGTGCTATCAGCAGGGATATTGACACTGCTGCCAAATTTATTGGTGCTGGTGCTGCCACAGTAGGTGTGGCTGGTTCTGGTGCTGGTATTGGAACAGTCTTTGGTAGTCTAATCATCGGTTATGCCAGGTAATCAATCTCTCTCTTACAAAAGTCTTAAATTGAATGCGGATGTATCTTGAGACAGCACCCCCAGATAAGCCAAGTTGTAGTAAGGATGATGGCACTGTAATAAATTCTGTTAATAATTACTATTAATGATAAACATGGCTAAATAGAACCATATGAAACTGTAGTATATTCATCAGTATGGCTGTATTGTTAAATTCAGAACTTTGTACACTCTACCTGGGGAAGAGACATGAAAGAAATGAGATCATCAGACGTGGTTAGTGTTTCAGTCACAATGTTTCAGTATTCAGTTCCAGAATGGAATTAAAATCTAGCCTGGATCTTCTCCCCTGTGAGAGGGGAGGAGAAGTCCTAAAGAGAAACTGTGTGAAAACTGATAATAAGTAACGTGAAGTTACATGCTTTAGACTTAGTAGCAGGATTGTTATTTAGAAATGTATGCTTAATTCATTTTCTAATATGTTCAGCTTTGCATCTTGGAATATGTAATTATCAAATAAGTAATCATTCCTTCTAGAAACCTGAAGGGGGTGAGGGTGGGGATTTTTATAGTAGGGTTGAACTTCCAGATAAGTTTACAATGTTCCTGTAGTGGGAATAGCTCACATGCTATCATGGAAGAGCAGAACTGATAGAGACATAAAAAAAGCTTTACTGGAGGTTTAATGTTCTTCATTACTCTTTCAACCTGTTAAGACTTAATTATTAAGTCTTATTTCTTAAAGATTTTTAAGCCCTACTGAAGACAAGGAAGTTCACTTTCTACTTGAAGAAACATAAGTGTTTTCAGTACAAAACTAATGTCTCCTTTTTTGAATTTGGCATGAATGGGCCAATAAGAGATTGTAGAACATTACTTCATAGCATTATGTTGAAGGGGTTTTTTTTCCCCTCTCCCACACACTTCTTGGAGGGATAATTCATTACATTTTTTGCAACAAATTGCTGTGTATTTCCTTTTTTGCTCTAGGTGGTTTCAGTTCCTGCATTTGGTCTGAGAGCTAATTAAAATGTTCTACACAAACTTCCTTGGAATATAGTTATAATGTCACAGATGTAAAATAAATATATAAAGCATAGTGCTGGTAGTTCCTGCATGGGAGGATGTAGAGAAGTCCAATTCAAAGCATATATGAATGTAGTCACAAAACCTGTGCTTATTTGGAAAAGTCATATACAATCTGCATAGCCTGAATCTAGTCTTAATTACCAAGTCATTTGCCTTCACTGAAACCCTTACTAAAAATTACTTCTTGGATTTACTGGATTTTCCTGTTACGGAATCTGTGGCAAGGAAGTGTGAGGTTCTGAATCTGTCAGAGACATTAAACTGTATGAAAAACATATTAACTGTAAAGATGAAAAGGTCTTACACCTTCGTTTTCTTTTAGAAATCCTTCTCTGAAGCAGCAGCTGTTCTCATATGCTATCCTGGGATTCGCCCTGTCTGAAGCTATGGGTCTCTTCTGTCTGATGGTTGCTTTCTTGATCCTATTTGCCATGTGAAAGGAGATCTGCCTGTAATATTGGCATTGGAATGTAACTCTGCATTTTATGGGACTCCCAAAATGTTGGTGTCATGGAAATTGATGCTGTTTCCAAAGTCATTTCATTAAAGATAACAACTTTAACTGTCAACCTGTTGCCTGCATTTATTATCTTTCTCGCTAGGATATCTGGAAGACCGCATCTTGTCATTCAGTCACCATGCGTTTCTCCTGATAATGACAAATCACATAGGACCCTTCCAACAATGACTTAGTCAAACATTTTACTTATTTATATATATGGGAGTGTAACTTGTTTGTTAAAATTAATGTGGCGTATCTTGGAAAGATCAAAGGATACACAGATTAAGTGTGAAAGGCTATACTGCTGGCCTTGTTCCTTCACTTGTTTCAAACTTACCCAGACTTGTTTCTGTGCACAATTTGGTTTTTTTCAGGCTAGCTGGCAGATAAGGTGTTCTGGCATCTCTTGATAAAAGGAGCTAAACACAAATCCATGAACAGTGATAGGAAAGTTGTCTCTGCATCAATTTTCAGTTATGCTATAAATTTTGAAGACCATGGTAAAAATTTTCCACTTGGTTCTGAGCGGTGTCCCAGTTGAACTAAACTAACTCCTGCTTTAGATTGGTCCAAGGCATTTAATTGCGGCACGTTGATATACACTTGCTTAGTTACTGCATTTGTGGCATCACCTAATTAAAAGGGAGAACATCCAGCTTCCCAATTTTGTGAAATCAGCCTTGCGTTATCTCCCAAATTCTTCAAAGAGCAGTAGGATCAAAGCATATTTAATAACAGCAGACCTGCAGCATCAAGCTTTGCTTCTCACAGTATCTGTCTTTTAACAGTCTAAATGCATTTATTGTGGTGTCTACACTTACAGCAACATACTCTGCTACCATACTAATCTGGTGGGGCTGTTGATAGCATCTCAAACTTCATTCAGAATATTAAATAACTGATCATTCAACAAATACAAGCTGAATTTTGGAAGAAGGTGAGCAAGCTTGTTACAAGCTCTGTCATCTTGCTGTTAAAAGGGTAATTACTGAATTAAATCTAGGAAACTTTTTACTGTAAGCTGCCTATCCCTAGGGAAATGGAGCATGCCTGCTGGCTCTCAGAGCAGTGCAAGGTGCAGGTAAGACCTTGGTTTTCATCTGAATTCAAATACCAAATTAGTGTTTATGTAGTCTAACTTGGACCTAGCATGAGAAGCTGCTTTCCCCATTCGTTCCTAGAGAAAACGGTCATCTTCTCGAAAGGATTAAGTTGTTACATGAACCCTTTTACATATCTGAGGTTTAGGGGTGTGGAATATGCAGCATCTTCAAATACTCATCTCTAGCACAGTGTTAGTAGTGCCTCATATGGAAGTGGGGTTTTTGGGGGGCGAGGGAGGGGTAGGAGATAAAGCATATTGCAGCTGTCTTCTGTGTGGTCTATGCTCGTGCTGTGGTTTTTTATGAACTTAGTATTTTCCCTTCTCTTAAGCTGTTCTGTTACAGAGCTGATACACAATGCATTATGCCCTGGATGAAAGGCAGATAACGATTACTAGAATTCTAGGCTAAAGGTCATCTCTGTACTGCTGTCCTTCTGGTGGGTGATGAACTTTGTTCGGTTCTTTCAGTACTGTAGAGCTCTGTGCAGGCATCTGAGGTAGCAATCCGTATTTCCTAATATCGTAGACTAGTCTCGTGGACTAGCTTAATTCAAGCTTCACATTTCCATACCACTGGCATTTGGTTAAACAAGGATCTTCAGACTCGTCTTGGTCAAGCCTAGCTCCAGCTCTGTTAATCATACTCACCAATTTGTTTATGTATAAAATGGTTCTGTTGAGTTACAATTGTGTGTTCGGTGTAGAGAGAAGTTCTGGCTAAGCTGTTGCTCCATAATGTCAGTAAGAAAGCTGCCTGAGTCACCATGAGCTACTTGAATCACTTTCAACAATGATTTCTAGATTTACATCCCATCTTCCCCCATGTGGTTCACCCTGTCAGTGGGTACCCTTTTCCCTATGATCAGCCTTGTCTGAAAGGCAGCAGACATCTCGGGTGACCCTGTATATAGATGTAAAGCCTATTTTATAGTAGCATTTCCCCAAGCTTGTTGCCTTTTGACTCATTCTGAGACCAGTGAACATGGGCCAAACCCAAGGAAAATTGCTATTAGCTTATGCCAATCTTGAAAGAATTGGATCTCAGTGTTACAGATACAGACTAAGCAAGGTCTTTCAAAACAGGGCAACAAACCTTCTCGCAGGGGATTATCCTCCTCATAGGCAACGAGGGGCTCATGAGCGATGGGCAGGTTTCCACATCCAAAGGATCGCAGGGCACATTGACTCCCTTTCTCTATTGCTCTATTTTTGCTGCTCTTGAAAAACAGCTTGGTTTCAGTGGTTACCTGAGCACTTCAACAGCTCTGTCAATGTGAGCGATCTTCCAAAAACTTACCAGTTTACCTAAAATGCCCACAAAAGAAACATCTATAGTTGTGTAAAAGACTAGATGTTCTGGGGTTTTTTTTTTTAAATAGTTCTTTGCAGTGATTGGGCAGCAGCAAGCTATCGAAAAGGACTCTTGAGCTTCTGTGTAAGAGTTTACATCAAATCTTTTTCATAGGTCAGAGAAACCAGATACAAAGTTCCATGAGGTGATACTGTAGGCTTCGCTTTCCTGAAACCTTTGGCAGTTTTTCTGACATGGACTGTGCTGACTGTCAGCTCTGGAAGATTCATGTTGTAGATTCTCCAGAGACTGTTCCATGTTTCAGTGTTGAAGATGGAGCCAGCTGGAGCAGAGATCTTCATTGCCACTGTAACTACTCTGCCTGCTGTCCCAGTAGATCCAACATTACTCCATCTGTGATAGCGACGTACACGGCACTGTTGTCCTAATGTGTAAGGAAGGA